ATTGCCGCCAGGTAGACCCCACCTGGGCCAGTGTTCTGAGCTCGGAAAGATTGATGACTATGGGTTTGATCGAAAAGTCTGCCTAGGGGGTTAGTCTGTGTCTCGGTGAAATGCTGTGGCCAGTGATTGATTGGCTACTGGGCCAGTTCGGCTCCACAGAAAGCAGAGTCGTCAAAAATCCAAAGAGGGGATGGTGGGAGCGTGTGATTTCATTATAACACAGATGTGTTTACTGACAGATGGCTGTAGACTGTGAATAAGAGAGTAATATGCCATGTGCTAGCTAGTATATCTCTCTGTCAAAACTCATCATTTGTCTGTCCATAAAGACTAGATTATATATACATTTAGATCATTCATTCACTGGTCTTTTCTGCTCTGACTCCAGCAAGTATCCACTGCAAAGAATCACCTATTCCCTAATTAGTGTTTCAAAGAAAATAAGCTCTAATTCACTTGTTCTCTAATTAAGGGTTTATTTGTGTGTAATGAGTCTACTCAGTAACTCCTTGATGAGGCCATCTTGACCACATAAAGCCAACAATCAGAGTTCTTCCACACCAGGCCGTCTGCTTATTAAATCACACTCATCCAGAAATGATTCTGAATAACCACAGCATGAGAAGATACTGTCTGCCTTTACTAGGTTGCAATATTGGAGACAAAACAATGCAGTGGTAAGTGTGCATTCATCTTTTCAATGTGAAATGACCAGATTGACATCTTTAGCCAGTAAGTGAAGCTTTTTCTCCTGCTCTGGACAGACAGGCATAACCAGCATTACTAGTCAAATTAAGAATGACTAATACAATTTTCCGACAACTGTGGATCTTCAAAGGCTTATTTAAAAGTAAATACTGCAAAAAGTTCCTATGTCGGGTTTTCTTTTTTTTTATCCTCCCAAATGCCGATCAAGGAAAGCTGAAAACACCATGCAACATTAGTATAAGCAGAACACTTAAATATACTGCTGTATTCCAACAGGAACATGGACCACTTGTTTATGCCACTGTTCCCTTTCCTTATTGTGCGTTCTCCCTGAGTGGCAGAACACGTGTGAGTGTTAACACGGAACATGTTCCCCGCAGACAACAGAACCCCAGGAACCCATCAACAACAACAACAATGACAACACACACCCCTCCCTACACTGCTCTGAAGTTTCAATTACTGGTAGACTTGGTGGCTGGCACTCAGCCTGACAGGGAGGGACTAGTGTTGGAAAAGCCTGAAGGACAAGCACTCCCAGCAGGGGGTACCAACCATCTGGAGCCCCAACTACACTTTAAACACACTACAGTATGTACCAATATACAACATGTTTCGATGCCAAAATGGTTTGCTACAGGACATAATTCTTCTTATACTAGCTACTAAACTTAATTTAGAGGTTAGGAAGTTGACAATTGGTCAGAACTACCATACTATACCAGTTTATATGAAGATACAGAGTACAAGGAAGAGAATAGTTACATTGCTCACAGTTTTTTATTTGACTATATACACCGGTATATATATTATTATTATTATGGACTACCCCTTAGTTGACTAATTGATTGTTTTGGTCTTTAAGAACTTGGATTTATTTTTGTCATTTGCTAATTTTTTTAATTACACTTTTACTAAAGAAACTGTAATTCAATTCTTAAGTTGAGAACAGCCCTGTAATTTATGACAAATGACTATTATTAGCTTCCTAATGTATTCTGAAATTCAACGGGTTTTGCGTTCCATATATAAAACATTGTTATAACTTAAAATGGCAACAATCCTTGGTACACAGAGTAAGAACCAGAATTTATAAACGGAATCTAAATCAATAGAATCTAAACGCTACCAACCCTGGTCGAACCCTGTGTCTCAGGGCAATTCTCCAGAATGGGTGTCGATGTAATTGGTGCAGCTATGGTTGCGGAGGTTATTGTCATTACAGGTGAGCGTGGGGAGGCATAACTGCTCACAGCAGCGCTCTCAGTGCGTGTGAAGTAGAGCTGGACTGTATGGGGTCCTACTGCTCACCGTGACCTGTATCTTAATGAGGAGGACAAATCAATACTAAGCTGAACAGAGAACACAACAACTACAGCTGCCATAGACAAATGTTATTCCAGTGGCAGTGACCATGAGAGGAGGGCTCAGGACAATTCACATGCAATTAGAACAATTTTAAGTACAATGGAAACACGAATGTGTTACCAATATCTAAATTCTGACTTAATGTTTAACCTTATATATATATTGTGTAAATACAAGATGTGTGTGTGTGTGTGTGTGTGTGTGTGTGTGTGTGTGTGTGTGTGTGTGTGTGTGTGTGTGTGTGTGTGTTTGTATATATACACACACAGGGTTAGGGTGTGTATGCACAGCCTGAGGGGATGCTGGGTAATATCTTATCAATACAGTGAGTTCATTGTGTTTAAGTGGCAGTGAAGGTAATAGAAGCAGCTTCATAAACACTGATGGGTGTTCTTTGTGTCAGCTCAGCATTTTGACTGAACATCATGATCAAAATGGAATTGTTATTACACACACACACTTTTTAATTTCTTTTGTTACCAAATTCTATGTGGGCTGAAATGAATCCCAACATTTCTCTGAAAGCTCTGCCTTAATCCAGTATTTTTTTCCTGGTGTGCAGCAGAATAAAGTGTCACTCAATAAAACATTTAATGGGTCAACTTTGGTTTCTCTTTAGCAGGAAGGTTGATTGTATACTAAGTTAACTTGAGTGAAACAAATCATGACAATTTCTCAAAATGATTCTATCCATTACTTTTTTTTTTAGAATTATAACACTTAAGCCAAATATTATATTCAAACAGTCAGAATAATATATCATGTCCTTATCTTAATCTTATACAGGGTCACTATTCCTCAAGGACGTAACAGTGTAGCCTCTAAGAAAATACATGAGGTGTTACCAGGTTTAGTGGAAAAAGGACTGAGTGAATCGCCTCTGATGCTCTATCAACCACCAGATTATGTGCGCTTAGTACAGCAAACCACAACCTCTCCCTGGAGCTGTTTCACAATCAACTTATTGACTTTGCACAGCAATCAGAACAAGTTTCACCTTCCAATCATTGACGCCTATATGCTTGTAAATGTAATTGCTTGGGTAGTCTACGCTGAGGCAATCTTTTACTTATGGAAAGGGGTAGTTAAAAGCACCTCGTATTTGAGCTAAATCTTGCGTCTTCTTTTTTCTTCTAAAATAAAACACAAAATAGTCTCACACATCCAGAGGGACAGAAAGACAAGCTAGAGACAGGGACACAAACACAAAAGACCTTAGAACATGTATTATGTTTCTTTAAAGATGAGTTCACTGTGGGAAGCAGACAAATAGAGAGTAAAATGACAATGGGCGGGGGGAGACGTCTTAGAGACGCTGCCTTTTAAAATGGAAAAGTCAATTTCAAGTTGAAAAGAACAGTAGCAGTGGGGAAGCGTCTGACTTGACAATTACATGAGTGGTGCGCAAGGCACTGCGCCTCCACTGATAACCCGGTGGATTCTATTAAAACTCCAGCACTCCAAAAGAATGCTCAAACCGAAGAAATTATCACACAGGCAGGCACGCACACATAAAACCCTCTGACAACGCCTCTTTTGCTGCAATGTGTGTTATTTAAAGAAGCAGAGACGAAGTGGAGGAGTAATAGAAATGTTCAACTGGATTTACCCAGGAAATATAAGTTACTGACAGAGAATGAAACAAAGAGTCTCATACCGAATGCATAGCTACTGCAGTGCTGCTTGCTGTAGTATCAAAGGCAGCTAATGGCTCTAGGTATAGCCTTGGGGACACAAGCAAAGGCTTCATGGCAAGCATATTGGAGGAAAAGTTCTCTTAAGTACAAGGAGATAGCAAACTGTCAATGACATGCACAAGGACGCTCCTCTGTGTCAGTTCAGTAAGACCCGCCACCCAGGATGCTGCTCATATATTAGAGATACACAAGCAGTGTGTGACATTTTTGCCCTTACTCCCCTCATTTGTCCCGTCTTCCTTACTATGAATAACAACCGATATTAAATTACAGAAAACCTTCAACTGAAACTGCTTTTTTTTGAAGATGCTGAAGGGAATAACCTCACATCATGTGTCTCCCTCACCATCCCTCTCTCCCCCTTTTGTTTAGATCGCCGTTCCAAATGAACGATCCCTCATACACTTGTCCCGCGGCGTGGAATCACGTCAACGCTCCTCTCCTTCTCTCAACAAAATGATTCATTTTTCAATTACGGTGATGAGCGTGTGAAATGAGCTATATAATCAATAGCATAGGTTTGTAAACAGCAGCCACACTCGGGGTGGAAAATGCGTTTTCTTTCTGAAGAAAATACACAGCCTGTGTGTGTGTGGTAAAGATTGCTCATCTGACAACGTTTACAAGGGCAATTTACAGGAAATAAAGAACAAGGCTGCCTAAAATGAAGGTATCTTTTATGATAAAGCAGGATGAACAAGCAGATATACGAGGAGGACAAAATATCCAACTTCAAGATGTGGATACATCAAAGACGAGTTTAACTACCTTTTTAGTTAAAAAAATGACCTTAAACGGTGCTTCTTGTTTGCATTATGTCAATATAGGTTTGATTTCTTGGAAATAACTAGATTGTTGTACTGTTTGTGAAGGACGGTGGTAAGTGCCAACACAGTCAAGATGTTTCTGTGAATATCTGCTCACAGCGATGTTCACACATTCACAGGACTGACATCTTTCAATGTACCAGGGACGACCTGTCGATTACAGCTAATTCGCTTCACCTCTGTGTGATAGAACAAGATCATGTGAACGTAAAAAGAGCCCAGTCCTTGTGTCAAAATGGCCTCATCGGTGAGTTTATGCTTGCAAGGTTATGTAGTTAAAATGTTCAATGTCTAATTGACACTGTGGTGTATCCAACTAAATGTTTTCAACTATTTGGCCACATAAAATAAGTACACAGAAAGTGCCATATCTTGCTGTGTGTTTTTGTGATAGACTTACAAAGAGCTGAGCGCGGAGCCTCTCGTCCTCAGTGGCGATCCTCTCTCTAATGACAGCCTGCTGGATGCTCCCCTCGGCCGCCGCCCGCTCCACACGCAGGATCCTGGACACCTCCCCCTGAACCTGGGACTGGGCATCATCCTGAGCATGGGCCGCTGCACGAGCCTTCTCCGTCTCTACCCTGTGGAGCATCATCATTTTACATGATTAAAACACAAAATGGAAACAATGTACAAAAACTAATGTACCTTCAGACTGTACCAAGAGTTATAATAATGCATCTCATAGTACAGGAGTACATTATAAACATACTACTCACTATTCGTTCCCCTAAAGGTATCTCTATAATGCATGACTTGCTACTCAACTTTTCAGTATAAAAAATGATGCTGTCCACAGCACAGTATTCTGCACTTCAGACATTATGTTGCCTGACAATATGGTGAACCATAAGTCTTCTTTTTGCATGTTACTTATTTTGTATTTTAAATTAAAAACTTAAATCACATAAAACTTTAATGACATAAAGTGATCATGTTGTTAAACACTTGCGGTGAATGGCTTTATGCATGTATATGACAATACTTGTTATTTTTCAAGCAGCAGAAATGTTCTGGTAAATGATGAACATCGTCAATGTTAACAGCACACCCACGTTTCAATGCCTTTATGCTGCAGTGTCCCCTACAATAATTAAAAGGTCACACAGGCAATTACAGTGCTAATGAAGCATAGATAAAAGCCTATATACTTGTATATTGATTTTCAACCCTAATGTCAGATTCTTCCTCACATTTGTCTGTGTTATCCCACTGCCTGCAAAGAGGGGGCAACAATGAGAAGTTAAAAGAAAACCTGACGTACCACAGAAGGTTGACACATGTTGGATAGTTCAAATCAATTTTCAATAATTAACATTGAAGAGTAGTTTGACTATAATGACAGACAAGGAATGTACTGTTTTCCACCGAACAATAATCATCAATCCAGTAAGGCAGTGATATAGACAGAGGCAGTACGCTCTCTGCAGACACAGGACAACCATTTGAACCCTGTCACTGGGTTCCTATAGTTGCCTAGCAACACACTCCCTACTCAGCGACAGTGTGCTTGATTGGAGAAGAGGAGACACGTCCCCGAGACCCTGAAAGTCTTCCTCTGCGAAGAATCAAACAGTGGTGGCAGCGTAGAATAAACACAGAACAGACCGAGCAGGTGCTGAGTGAATCATGACGGACTGAATGAAGATTGTGAGGATCTTAATAAACTTCTGCCTAAGAAAAAATCTCAAGAGAGCCCTGACATGAGAAGAAAATCCTTCACATTCAAATGAGCCATGATCTTTATGATGACGGTATGATGCCACAGTTAAACCACAATAGTTGATTTTAAATGATGAATTTATATATTTTTTAAAGCTTTAAAAAGGTGGGACATTTTTGTTTTATTCATGAACAATTAAGTGAAATGCATTTACAGCCTCATCAGGCTTGCACATTGCTCATTATGATAATTTAAGTGCATTATCCTGCTTGTCAAGTGTGTGGTATCCGTCCTAGACACAGCATGTGGCTTTTTCACCTCATGGCTCCATTTCTCTGCATATTACATGCACCCACTGATCTGTCAATGTGAACGGTTTTCGTCTTTTATTATATTTTAAAAATCTCATTCATCTTTTCACTCACAGGTGTGAATTTACCCAAACTCTAGAGGAATGAGGAGTCGTGATGGACAGACTTCTCTAACTGATCACCATGCCATGCCTTTGAGCAGATGACATGTAGGTCTATTAAAAATATGTCTGAAGTCTTAAAGCTACCGTTTGCCCTACAACGCCACTAACTGTCAGAGAGCAAGACGAGACGGGGAGACAGAGAAAAAGACAGGAGAGGAGAGAGAGGAACGGAGCGAGAGTGAGTGGTGGCGACATGACATGTTTGGCCCTGAGGAAGTGATGCAAAAAGGGAGTGAGGCAGAGAGTGGGAGAAAGAGATGGAGGGAGACGGAGAGAGACCAGCCATGTCCAGTCTCATAGTCCACTGGGCTGCACACGTCAGCACACTCCATCCATCATCGGGTTTCCAACTCACGCACACACCGACACACACGGGGAGCCTCCTAATGGCCTTTTACATTCACCATTTCACCACAATCAACGCCTGCCTGCCTATACTGCTAATGCACCTAAGCTACATTTACTCTAGAAGCTTAAGTTGTTGCAACTATAATATAAAAGTGACTGCATGCAGGGTTTCCAATAAATCGACTTTTTGGGTGGTACCCAGGGGCCAGTGTTAGAAAAAGTACTTACAAAGCACTGTTGGTAAAAAATGGTTTATCAAAGCAATTTTATATAAACTGTACCTGATGAAGCTTTGTTACAAAAACTGTCTGAACTCATTAAATTATTTATTGTTCACATTCTGAAAGTGTGCAGATGTTAAGGAATACCAGCATTCTCCTACGCACCTGTCAGTTGCACAGACATCAGGAGTGCAACAGACCTTTTTGTTTACCCGTTTTGATACGGAAAACTAATATGATAGTGAATCAGAATTATATTGCGCAAAGTCAAAACTACAAATAAAAAAGGTATATTCACTGACAAAAATGACCCAATTTCCATGATTTTGTTGGAAGATTAAAAAACACTCAGTATTCTGTTGGGGGAAACTAATAATAGTTTTCATTATTACATACAAGTAAACCGAATTCTCTCAAATGTGACTTAAAGCTAAATCCTGGACAGATGAAAGAAAGGTGGCCAAGGAAATAGACAGCCTTGCAACAAAAAAAAGTCCCTCGACTGATTCCTCACAAGTGCTAACCCAAGCAAAGACTGCTATCACTAGCTGGATGCTATCTGTCTGCTTCACCCCTATTGCTTTCCAGTCATTATTGCCCTGTCCCTGGGATATTGGACGCATTTTTCATTCCACTGTAGAAGATTGGCATTGGGGAAAAAGGGGGGCTTTGAGGTAAGGAAAGGAGAGTGGAGACACAGACACAGAGAGGAAAAAGACAGCAGAAAAAAAGATCATGTTTTGGGAGGCTAAGTGGATGATGCTTGGCCTGGACCGAGAGAGAGAGAGAGAGAGAGAGAGAGAGAGAGAGAGAGAGAGAGAGAGAGAGAGAGAGAGAGAGAGAGAGGATATTTTTGGCCCAGTAACCTGTGTGTTTTGAAGGCGCAGTGAATCAAGCCTTACAAACGGAAAGATGGAAAGATAAAACCGGTGAGGCGGCATTAATTCGAAAAGGAGTTGAGTACGAGTGGGCCAGTCTGTGTTGGTCTACCAAGAAAAGTGACTCACTATTCAGGAAATGACCATGAACAGAAGTACTCGGGAACATTTGTTATTTTTTGAGTAGTACTTAATAAACCTGAAAGAGATTAGATCTGTGGCCGGTTATATGAAACATTTATAGGATGAGTAGCTGAGATGCTGCAACTTAAGTGACCATAGTCAGGGTAATCTTTCTCTCTGTGTGTGTGTGTGTGTGGTGTGTGTGTGTGTGTGTGTGTGTGTGTGTGTGTGTGTGTGTGTGTGTGTGTGTGTGTGTGTGTGTGTGTGTGTGTGTTTCCAACAGCACACGTACTGAAAGAAAATGTTCATAACGAGCAACCCTGCAACAGGTGGTACAAATCCATGAGGGTCGTCATCACCTGTTACTCCACAGAGAATCCTTTCAAATATCATTGCCTTTGCAGAAATATGACAATAACAGAAATCACAAATGCATGCCTTCTTCCTTCCCCTCCGTTACCTCTCTACCTTCTGTCTGTTGCTCAGCTCTGCCGTCCTCATTAATGCGTCCTGTTGTCTACCTGTCATCCACATGAGATGCGTCTCAATAAGGTCTGCCTGTCTGGATTCTGACCCACCAGCAAATCAGTGCAGACTCCAAGTGCCTTGAAACAAAGGCATTTAAAGGCCCAATGCAATATTGATGTTGGGAATAATGTAGCTGAATGCTGCCTATGAATATTTTATGGAGCTAAGCACTCTCTCTCACACACGAACAGAAACACACACCATGTGACTGTGGGTGCTCTGAAATGCTGGGACACAGTTTTAATTAAGTGTATGGGAAACAAAGAACTGTGCGATGATAAGATTCATTTAGAAGAGCTCCCATTCTGCAGAAGGAACATAAAAGCCATTTTGTACTCCCCCTCTACTTCGCCCACAAGCATGAAGAGATAACCGTAATGTTCTTAGTGCGACGATCAAGCACACTGTCGAAAGAGAAAAATGATTGTCACTCTACCCTCTGCTGTTGTCACTTCTAATATTGTACCTAGTGCACAAAGCTCAAACTCCCAACCTAAAGCCATTCAACACTAAAAGAGGCAGAGCACAAAGTCCATTTACTTGATGGGGAATACATTCATAGGCCTGATGGTTATCATTCTGTACAGCTACCAGAGTGTCTTATGGTGCTTAAACACTGTGATTATAATAGAATTGACTTGAAGTTTGTATTGAACTACCTCCAACTGATTCCATCTGTTCTGTATAAGACTAGCTCGAGGAATAGACAAAACAAAGATGGTATATTTGCTAGGAGATTGGACGGAGTCAATAACCATAAATGTTCTACTGAATAGGTCAGCAGAAGGCTACAGTAAAAAACCTGATATTTCTTAAAACAGTATATTTAGAGTTCATGACTGTTACTCTTTCACAAAAAATGGCCTTATACACTGGGGATAGGAGCACTTCTACATCGATATGAAGAGGTTTACATGAAGCCAGAAGCATCAAATGGAAAAAAAAGTTTTTGGCCGTTAAATCTACTTATGCAGATAGTGAAACACTCATTATCACATCGCACAAAACTACAGCACAAACATCCCAAGACAAGAAGGCAGCAGACAAGAATGCACGATGTGTAAAATATTCTCACTGCTGAAGCCTGGGGGCTCAAAGGTTTCATGTGTGTTTGTGTGCATGATGGTTATTGTAAAACACATTAAGCATATATGGTATTTAGTGTAGTTAATATGCTATTGCTGGGTGGTTGCTTGTTTGTACACATGGCACAAATAACTGTTGCAATAGTTGTTTCCAGGTGGTTGCTCACAGGTTTTGCTTGGTTGCTAAGGTGTTATTAAATGTGTAGCTGGTGCTACAATAACATATATTGTAAATACATTATGTTAAATATCTGAGCCCCTTTTCTTAAGCTTGGGTAGATAATGGGATGTCCCATTTCACATATCTCCATTATGCCTTGTGATTGTACTTGTATTTCTTAACCGTTTGTAATTAAATGAATTGAATTGGGTTTATACTTTAACCAACTATGGTTGCTAGTATGTTGTTGTCTATGGTTCTATGTGTAGGTGATAGCTACAGTATGTTGTTTGGGGTGGTTGATCTCACAGATGCTGTTTTACAGCTGGTTGATTGTGTGTTTGCATTAGGTCATTGCTATGGTTTTTCCTTTGTAATTGTACTATGTATTTTCTTGTTAAACGCCTTCAATTAAATTATTGTTATTTTAAGCATCGCCATTATTATTATTATGATGAGTAAGCTGAGTAGTCATTGTGATCATCATTTTTACTCTGGTTAAGATTGTGTGTAAAGTATATAATGTGTTTGCAGTTGTTACAGTTAGGTTATCCTGAATAAATATGAAATGTCTGATAATACTGCTGATTTGGACACATTTAAAAAGGAAGAATGACAACTCCCTGATACACAGTCTTGGAAAATCAGATTGGAATAAACACGTTCTAACTCTGTTAATTTGAATATTTTGTGTGCTTGTCACTGTATGTATTTATGTAAAAATAAACAACATGTAAAACTCGGTGGGCTGGGCTATCTGTCTGCATCTGACCTGAGGGCAATGAGAAATGTAACAGGCTGGCTGGTGGATGGTAAGACAGAAGCTCTGGGAGAAGGTCAGCATTCTCACTCAAAAGTCTGACACGCAATTATATCGCCAACACAAGCTGCTTGACTACATGCCGAAATAATGGGCAGAAGTTTCAGAACAACAACTAACCTTTAAATGATAGAGTTGGATACTCATGCACGGGATAGATTGAGAGAGAAAGAGGGAGGTAGGAGGAAGACATGGATTGGAGGGAATGAGAAATAAAAAAGTCTGATTGAGAAACAGAGAAAAGAGATGGTTGGAATAATACAGGAAATGTTGGGTAATAGAAGGGGGGAAAGACAGGGAAGGAAAGGGTGGAGGAAACCCAGGGTGAAACACTGGATGGAGAGGTGACACAGGAGGAGATGGTATGTTAAAGAAGAAGAGACAGGTTGGTGTAAGAGGCCCCCCCCATCATCCCTCCTTCTCTCATCCTTTCCTGAGTCGTTCTGCTCTGATGCCTCACAGAGAAGAGGCAGAGGCAAATCTGCTCCCTGCAGCCGCTCCTTGCTACAAATGAGTTTAGGCTGCACCCAAATGAACTCCTCACAGAGCCTTTACTTCACTCTTACCAGAGCAAAACATGCAAAGCCAGATCTCCTGAAGTTCATTTATAGCCCTAAACCCAGACAGAAGAAATACTGCCATCATCTAAAAACACCACTATTGCTTGAAATCCCCTATGCAATATTGCATAAGATAGTGTGGAAATAATAAGATTTGAGTCAAATGTGATGCGTTTGGTTTCCTCATAGAGTTCTAATGGCCTTACTCTGGCAGTAACCTCAATTGTACTGCTTTTCAAGTTAACAAATTATTTTCTATTGTAAAATAACACGCATGAATAATTCATGTTTTGTGTTGAACATGACCTTAACATTTTGGCCTCATGCATCTCATGTGTGTCTCTGTTTTCCCCCCAATGACCTGGGGGTTCACAAATCCTTTTATTTCATTGTGTTCAAGCTGTGAAGCACTTTCACTGCAGGGTTTTGCATCATGTGAGGCACGGTGCAGTATTGTTACCTGAGCTTTAGAACACTCAAATTATTTTTGAACTCTTACTTGAATTTTACAGCAACCCAGTTATCTTCCTGAGTCTTCCAACAAAGTCAAAACCATTATCACCTTGCCTTCCACAACCTGCCTGCAATGACTGCTTCAGTGTGGGGTGAAATACCATTGCAATTTAATTATTGTTTGACAGCCCAGAAGAAAGGCACTCGGTTCCTCTCATCTATTTCAATTAAAAGGGAGCCCCAGTCACCTTTATCTGCAATGACGACAAATGAAGAGAAAAGTTAAATTGCAGGTGGTAAAAGAAAGAAGTTGAAGACATTTTGAGTCCTAACGTATGTTGGTGTGTTGGAGCTTGAGCAGAAAGGTCATGTTAGTTTGCTGTGTAATGCTTAATCTCAAAATGACAAATGTAATTGTGGCTCAGCTCATATTAATAGGGATTTGGATGAAGTGATAAAGTATACCATAAAGTATGCCCCCGGCAGGTGTAGCAGTGTTTCCACAAGAGGCATTTCAGGCACGTTGTCAGTCTCATGCGTGTCTAAAATAATGGACACACTTTGTATTTCTAATGAAACTCTCAAATGCAAGCCGTGTAAAAGGCTTGCATTTGATTTGACTATATTCTGTCAAAATGTGCAAGAGAAAAAACAAACAGTACACAAGGCCACTTTAAAACTGATATTAATCTGCCTCCACACACAGTGCTGGCAAGCTGATGATTGCTTATTGACCATTTCATGTTCAGTTAAGTCTTCTTTAGTGAAAAAGCAACCCGTAACAAGCACAAACTAAATCTGAGAGTGACAATAATTTCAATTAATTGCAAGGAGGGTGTAATTTTGAGGCACTTACTGCTCTGAACAGACAATAAGTGAGCTGCAGGAAGCAGTTACATCACACAAACAAAATAGCAAGGATAAAAAAAATCTATAGACAAATGATTTCTCAAAACCACATTAACATTAACAAGGGGGGCGCAACACCATTATCGGACATTTTGGCATGCGCACCTGCTTCTTTAGGGTCAAAAAGAAAAGAGAACAATGGAAGAGAGGAGAGGTGGAATATGCTCTTTACATGAACAGTGTTTCTTCATCAGGCAGGGCTAATGGATCACCCACTCAACACCCAGGAAATTACCTCAGGATAGCGCCCTCCTCTCTCAGGCATGATTAATTGATCCGGAGAAGGGTATAAGAAGCAGAGATGGAGAGAGGAAAAAGTGCTGATGCGCTTCGGAAGTGGGGTGGATCGGAAACACAGTGGGGAATCGGAAGGAATGGCGCTGACCTTTTTGACTATTAATGAAAGCGGGAAACTGTCACATGTGAAAATATCTCTTGTTTCTAATGAAATCCTACAAGAGGAGTTGACACTTGGTGCAGTACCCTGACGCGATCTATCATGATCCAAAGAAGGAAGGTAGGGCAGAGAGAAGAGAAAGAGAGAGAAACGCACACCACACAGAGAACAGCAGAGGGTTTGGGTTTGACTTTCAGGAAACCCAGGAATGTTAATTTCAACTCCAGAAAACAAATGATGGCAATCAATTTACTTCTGGAATAAGTAAAATGCCTTGCAACACCATATGCTTTTGTTGAAGGTCATAAACAAGACCATTAACCATTCCACAGCAAAACAGTGCATGTGTTTGTGTGTCTGTGTGTTTGTGTCTAACCAGGCTTGCAGCTCTTGCTCTGCCTTGGCCCGATCCTGCTCCATGTCTTTGTGCAGCTCATCAGTGATGGTCTTCCTCAGGGCCACTTCATCAACTGGGGACGCAAAGAGAAGGGAAAGAGAGAGTTAGAAACAGAGGATCTTAGGCAAATAACTGTGATTTGCTTACAGCAATATTGTGTCTGTTGGAATACTGAGTTATACTGTCTAAAAAGTGAAACAGATAAGTACTTTTTGAACAGTCTGTTCATCCGAAAATGTGTTATTTCATTTTAACGAGTAATGACAGGTCTATTTGTCTTGTTACGAGAGCTTGACAATTAGTGAATTAATCCATGAACAGAGAGAAAAGTGTGCAAAGCAATTCATCATTCAATTCATTATTAAAGTACCAAACATTGCACAGTTCCAGTCTGTCATTTTGTGCTATTTCATGCTATTCTCAATGTGATTTCAGACTGACTGACGGTCAAGCAAAACAGGCAGGTTGGCCTTATGCTCAATGAAAGTATGATGTTTTACTACACACACAAAATTGAAACAACAACTGATTTAATCCATGTTGAATATGTGTTGTTAGTTGTTGTAACATTGCTGAATCTTTATAAATCCTAGTTTATACAGTGTCCACTCTGTGCTTTCTCTGAGTAAAGCAAGGTGTGATAGAAATCTCAACCACCATGCTGTATGACAAAGAGAAATATGTCTAGAGTGCTTAAACACACACAAACACACACTGACACAAAATAAGCACAAACATCCTCATATCACAGCAGCGCACCAATCTATCTACATAATATTCATGTCAGGGACATCATACATGTATGATTTCCGTGCCTCCACCGCTCTATCTTGGCAGGTAATTAAGCATGAAAGTAAAGATGCCAGGCCAAAACGTGCTCTGAAGACAGAAGTGCCATGCGGTGTGCTGCGACACTGAAGTAATGGAGGGAGTGTCTGTGTGTGTCAAGATTACTCCCCCGCTGCATTAGTTAGATAGGATAATCCCTATTGTCAAGGTACCTGGTTACATGTGGTAACAACAGGCCGGTGGACACGCGCACACACAAACCTAATGCCAGTTCAATCAGATCAACAATAAGACCTGAAATGTGCAATGACATTTCTTTCTTAGTTTATATAGCAAATGACCTTATACTTTAGTTAAAGATGTCATTTATTTCAGAAACACTTTTTGTTATATTCCATGGAATACTCTTAACATCCCGATAGCAATGAATATATGAAATGTTTTGACAATAAATTCATCTGTGGAAGCCGCGGCGCTGTAAAAAGCACGACCAATCACTTTAGCCGGCCCGGCTAAAATAACTGGATGGCCTACCTGCCTGTCAGCCTTCCATGTGTGCACAAACTTATCTCGTGCCCTCATTGGTCATGTGCGCGTTTGTGTGTGTTGGAGGAGGGGCTCTGTAAGGAAGTGGCAGATTGTTTCCGGTTGTGTATTTTCACATTCTAGCGCACTCGAGCTGGTTTCTCCAAAATGACCTACCCCACCTTTAATGTGCCTATTTTGTGATTCAACAAAAGGTGTGGGGGTTCAGGATTCCATGTGGTGTTAAACAGTGCTTTACACATTCTTTGAATTCAGTATCACAAATAGAAAATGTACAAAGGCAAACAAAATTCAACAAATGATACATTTTTCAACTTTAGTTTAGTGTGAAGTTAAATTAGTTTCTTTTGGGCAGACTTGAAATCAAGATCATCTAATTCAGCTTAATTGTTTTGACTTAAAAAGATAAAACTCATTGTCTACAATCCCTAGATCCAGATCATCTTCTAATGAGAGGTTTGAAATATCACATTGCCCAAAGACCCAGTTATATTGGACATCTTTACCAAAAGGCTTTTCAGATACCTTGTGGACAGAAGGACATAATCCCACCAAACAAACCTCTTCTAAGGAAAGGAAAAAAACAATTGCGTCTAAAATGCTTGGCTTCCTTTATGGGTAGAATTGTCTTTATGGGTGCTTGCATGTCCTGAAAGTGCCACTGATGTATTCTGCTCTTTGTGACGACTAAAATAAAAGATCCATTTATAATTGAAGAAATTAATTACATAACATTTAAACTCAACTGTCAAACATTTCAGGGGCAAACAGAAATATATAAAACCATTTGTATTGTCTTCCGTGCTTGAAGTAAAGAACAAGTCAGTGACATGGTGAACTAGTGGAAACTAGTTACCAGGAGATGGCTGCAGTTAATGCAACCGGTGTCAAGGAGACAGAGTAAACGCTCAGCTCATTAGCAAACATTTCATCCTCCACTTTCTGTTATTTGAGTTTCCTGCCTCCTCCTGCAGCTCAGTCACACCCACTGTTAACAATTTGCTCTTAGAATACAGTTCATTTAATCCTTGCTCTGAATTACAACCTCTGTAGCATTTTTGTCTCTGCAGCAAACCGCACATAAGAAGAACTCACAGCATGACAACACTTTGGTACGGCTTAGAGAAAGAAAAGCAGCAGGTAGAGGGAGGTTTAGGATGACAGGGCTTCAGAAGAAACACTCGTGCAAACAGAGGCGGTGATTGACAGTAGACAACTTTTTGCTGCAGTGTCTCCTCAAAGACAGACACTGCTGTCACCTAACTGTCCAGAGTGTGGGAAAATAATATCCATCATGTCTGACAGCACTCAGAATCTCCATTGATCCATCTGCAGAGGAGAGTCTAATTACAACTCTGTTAAGAACTACGACAACCTGTAGGACCAGAACCCTGCCGAAAGGTGTCCGTCAAATAACAAGTAATAATGCTTCTGACATCAGGGTGATATGAAAACATCCAATGATATGCTATGATTGTCTTCCGTCTACAGAAATAACACGCTGGCATTTAGACGTGAAATATGTACTTCAGTAAGGCATTTTAACAAGAGAACTGTCTCCTGGAGATAAGAGAATACACAATGTACTGCATGAATATTGTATTGTTTTGCTTTATCAGTCTAGCCATCTACTCTGGTTATCATATTTTTGTGATAACTTCAACAAATGTGACAACATAATCAGAGCCGAATATTTTCCCTTTCTTCCAACTCACAACAACAATGTCGATGTACTGAAAAAATAAGCTGCCTATTTCCATGATGAAACTTGTGAGAATAATGTTGTCTGTCCACAATATATCTAGCAACTAAATAGCTCATAATCTTTATGATAAAGACACCTCTATTACTCACTTTTCCCTCCAGAGATTTGTACAGTAAATGAATACACAGTACTGGGCACCAAACTAAAGTGACCCTTTAAATCATAGGTCAAATTCTGCCATTATGAAGTAACTATCGGGTAGGACTGGCATTTCTGTATCAACTGCCCTTTATAATATCTCACACTTGCATTCAAAAAAGATCCCTCTGAGCAGTACACTACGAAAAGTAAAATTCTAAATGTCCTCTAAGTTCAGACAAGCCTCAGCAATTCCTCATTTATCACTGCATGCTCTCCAGCTCTGCAGAGAGAGGCTTCAGATAGATAGAAGGCCCGCAGGGTCACCTGGAGAACAGGTTCTGATATGATAAATACCGTCTGGGGTCCTTGAGGGAGGCTGGTTGGGTCAGAGACAATTCCAGATCGACAGAGCCAGTGTCACTGCTGAGTAGGACATGTAAATGTTAAAAAGATTAAAAACTCATCATCTTTTTAGACGTGTCCCCCTCGTTTCCGTTTCCACCAATCACTAAACCCTGTGGAAAAACCCATAGAGGAGTAGGGGAGGCTGTGAAGCACAGGCTATTGGCAGTGGAGATAATAGACGAAGGCAAATTGCGTTTCTCATCAGAAGTTTCATTAACCCCAGGACCCGCGAGGAGGGCATAATCTGTAACATTACCACTTCCCCACGTTTCTAGCTCGCGCTTCCTGGAGTCACCGCACACCTTTCACAATGCTCACATAGGAGAGAACATAGAAAAGAAAAGCGCCAAGGCCAGGCAGGTGCCGTTTCTGATATATTTTCTTTTATCCAGACTCTTTCCTGTTAATTCAATCTCATGTGATGAAAAATGACCTAACTGATCAGTTCACATTAGAAGAAGATAACTATAAAAGTCAGTTTCAAAAGGAGAGTGATATATTTCAAACTCACATTTATGCACATACACCAAGTCATCCACATTTCTCCTATTGTTTTTCTCTGCCCGTCCCTTTTCTCCCCAATTCTCTCTGCCGCACCAGGGAGACATTTAAGCAGGCTATTAGTCCAGCGTAGTGTGTGGGCTCTGGCATATGAATATTTATAACACATTGGAGAAGGTGTAGGAGGTTCAACCTTGACTATGTAATCAGCACACATACTGAGTCAGGCCCATGATTTAGAGACAGTCGACCTGCTGAGAGCCTCACTCGATACTCAACTCTCGTGGACACACATAATCAATGTCTGCCTCATTAAGGTCGTACCCTTTCAGAATTGGGCTGAACTTTGCAACTTTTTAACGAGATTCACAATCATCCTACCTTTTTTTACTTCTTTAAAAAGAGCAAGCTTGATCAATCGTCCAAGTTGACTTTTTCCTTCTCCTTTATAATACTAGGTGAGGTTGTTACACATTACACCGCGGGGTGACCTTGAGAAGAAAGTAGAGGACTAAATGTCAACCGACATGATTGTTGAGGGATACTGTAAATATTTAAATAAGAGCCACTGTCTGGCAGCCATTAAAAACGGCAACAATGGTCACTATGCAGAAACATAAAAAGTACAGCCATTCAATCACAATCCTTAACGCTGTTTCTATATATTTTTATCCCATTCTTCAATCTTTTAATAACTGGTGAAAAAAATTACTTCTCTACTCAATCTTTTTGTGTGTACAGCATATTTGCAAATGAACTGTTAATGTCCAGAAACAGACAACATACAGATAGATAAGTCGGTTTGTGATATCTTTCATGAAAACTGTTGTGCTGTGAACGCATCTGGCAGTTTTCCATAATAACTACACTTAACAAACTTCTGGTCACAAAAATTGAAATTAAATGTTGCTTTATCTTTTAATCTGAGAAACTGATTAGTGCAAACAATAGAGGAATAATTGAATTCAACATGGGAACAAACTTTGTTTCCATTAGCTCTGTGGGCATTAGCTCATGCACACAGAGCTAATGGAAAATGGACCGACAAAGAAGGTTTATTTGTGGAATTGACAGGAATCAATTCTATTAACTGTCCAAATGGTGTTACTAATGTGCCCAAACAAGAAGGCTGGGGGCTCACATAAAATTCGGCGTCATATCACAGAAACACTACGACCAAATTAAAGTTTAACACGCACACGCGTCCACCTCCTTCCCTTAATGAGGCCTGGTGGTTTGTTGTGAGAAACTGCGGAGGTGTCGTTTTAATCACTGGAGTCAGTGTGGCGTGGCATAAGTTGGCCTTTTTTAATTACCTTGCTGATTGAGCACAGTCAAGGATGGGGAGGCCTGCCCACACCCTGCAGACCACCTTCTTAAGAACCAGCGCCCACGCCCCATTATGAATAGTGCAATGAACAGGTAACATTCAGACGTCCTCTGTTGGATATGTCAAGAGATAAGGAGCAAGCACCCATACTATTAAGACTAAAAACTTTACCTCAAGAGAAGAAGTCATCCCAACATTCTATAATAGTCACCCTCAATTATTTGAAAATGATAAACTAATAATATTACTAGGGGGAAATTAAAGAAAGCTTGCCACAAGTGAATCAAACTGACCTGCTACATCTACACCAGATCTCACATCTTTTGATTGTATTATTAATGTATTATATGAATTGACTATCAGCATTATCTGGCACAATAATCATTAACTCACCTTAACTTGTTCTGTTGTTCAGTGTTTTTCTTGTATTTGTTCAAAATGCTTATGAGCTTAATGGTACATTCCAAATGTATACGTATGTATAGATGTTGCAATTGTACAAAGCTGAATTGGAGTCAAAAGTATAGTGAGTTTGTTTGTGTTTGAGTGTCCACATAAATCTTTTTAGAACGTAAACAATGTAGCTGAATAACAATAAACTATATTGATAGCATATGTTTGATAGTGACAGGGATGTTATTTGATATTTCAAATAATAAACATACGTATTTAAGCTTTATGACACTTAACGTTTTGAAAAAGCTTTGAAATATCAACTCATTTAAGTTTCTGTTCATTATCACAACTTTCTATTTCTGCTTTTTAATTACAGATTGTTTTTGCAAGTTTGAGGCAGTGGAAATTGCCTTCTTTGACATCTATTTTAAAACATATTGATTGTACCTGCTTTAATGGAGGTAAAACAGTTATAATAAAGAAGAGAGGGAAAACTTTTCCATACAGATCAAATAAAAGATCTGTTTAGCCTAGATGAGTGCTCTAACAAAGTGCTGGAAGAAGTAGGGTCATTGTGACAGTTGAGCTCCACAATGAAGAGGCAGAATTGAGGGGCACTAATTAAAGAATACATGTATTAACATTAACAAAAAATCTAATGAATTAATCATTTCATTAACAGTTTGGGAATGGCAATTAATCATAACATGACCAAGGCTTCTATGAAATCCATTTTTTTAAATAAGGACAACGAAAATACAATATGCACGAAAAGTTGGAGACAAAAGGTTAAGGTGGCTACAAGTAAACACCCCCACAATAAACATAATTAACTGGACTTAAATCCTTAGAAAGCTTATTCCCTCATAACCTTTGCCTTCTAATTAACCACTATGCTGAAAAAGCATTCAGGAGAAATGATCCATTACAAAGAACAATTAATTTCTCCAGTTTTTGAGCATTCACTCCTGTCTCTTGTTAGAAAAAACAAGAGAGTGTAGTCGCCTCCCTGGTTAAAAATGACTGCGCAAATCCAGTTAAAACATTGTAATAGAAAAGAGTGTTAAATCCGAAAAGCTTAAAACAATTCAGAAAGCATTTCGTTAATCCTCATAAAACAACTCCTTCTTCCATTCTACTGTAATCTTGGTTTAATTTTTTCATAAAATTACGACATAAAACTACCAGAATATCATGCAGTCTAAATCAACACAGTGGGATTTTTATATTATTTAACAGTTAAACCTTCTTTTCCTGGTGTTTTTGCTTATAGTACACATTTATAATGATATAGTTTAGTTATTTTAGTAAATGTAATCCTTTGTGCTTTTATTTTGAAGGCAGCTTTGGGCACTGGGTGATTGAGGCACCTGGTGATAATGTATATATTGGACACAGGTGGTTATGGGATTGGCACACCATTACGGCCCATCCACACGGCAGCGTGCGTTGAAGCTTCAACGCTTCTGCCCATTCACTTGGAATGGGGTGACGTCACGCTTTGCCGAACTGCATTGTGGGAGCTTCGCTTTGCTCGCTTCAAAAGTTGAGCAATGTTCAACTTTTGAAGCTTCGACGGAAGCGTCAGCCAATCAAATCATATGCCAGTACAAGCTCTAGCCAATCAAACCACGTGCTTGTGTGTCCGGGGCGGGAGATTCATGTGATTGGTTGTTGGTCGAGCTTCAGACGCGCCCGCTGGCAAGCTTCAAATGTTTTTTACCAGGGAAAACACAGCAGAGGCCACAGGTGAAACCATTGTTCTATGTATGTTTGATTATTGTAATTCTACTAAATAAATGCACAAAGACAATGTTCTTGCCTGGACATCGGATGATTTCCATAAGATTTGCTTACTGGTGCCCCAGCGGCAGTTCATTTTGAGTTACATTTTCTGTTTTATTTGGCCGCTACAAACACTATATAACTGACCAACATATGCTCTGAAGAGATGAACTTATTTCCTTATTCAAAATGTGTTTGTGAAATATAGGACAAACCCTTTATTTGTAGCATACTGGGGGAAAAAACTCACCGGGTGGTGCAGCAGCAGCAGGTGGTGGGATTGAGATCACCTCAGGTACTACCACTGGCTCAGGGACAGGAGATGCTGGCTCCACTGGGGACTGAGGAGGAGGTGCAACTGGTTCACAAGGAGCAGTAAACTCAGGCAGAGGAGGTGCAGCAAATGGCTCAGCTTTCTGCGGCAAGATAGTGACAGGCTCAGAAACAGGAGGGGAAGAAAGGGGTTCCAGTTCGGGAACAGGGGGAGCTATGGTGGGCTCTGTCTTGACAGGTGGAGGAGGTGCTAAGGCTACAGATGGAGCAGCAATGGCTTCAATTAATGAAGGACAAATAGCAATGGATTCATTCATGGCAGGGGGAGAAGATTCGATTGAAAGGTTAGGAGGAGCAAGTGGAGTGATCACTTCCACTTCGGCTGGAGCAGGGCATGGAGCAAGAATCTGGGTAGCAATGGGAGTAGCAGGAGGCAAAATGACTGGCTCAACAACAACAACAGCTGCAGGAGGAGGAGGTGCCGCCACAGGCTCAAAAGCAGGAGCAGGGACAGATGAAGTTGGGAGCACCATGTCAATTATGGTGGGTGCTGCTACCTGTTCTGTAGGTGTTTTAGCAGGAGGTGGAGGAGGTGGAGGTGCAGCTACAGTCTCTGTGGTAGATGGAGCTGGAGGAGGTGCAACAGGTTCTACAAGGGAAGGGAGAGGAGGCAATGGGGTGATATGGTCAAAGATGGGAGGCACTGGACGTATGAAAGGAGAAGGAGTGATGGTAGGCGTCATAGAAGGTGGTGAAGAGGGAGCAGGCAGGACTTTTGGTGGAGCTTTAGGTTGAGCTTTAGGTGGAGCTTCAGGTTCCCTCATACGGTTGATGACATTCTCAGAAAGCTGCAATGCAAGAGTGAAAGAAGATTCAGTGGAACAATGTGATGCATTTAAAGACAGCCCTATAGTGATTATATAAAGTGAATGCTCTTACTTAACTTCCAGTAAAACCCACACCATGTCACGTTTACATGTTTGTTTTCTTTCAAATTGAAAGACTAAACGTAGCATTGTGTGTGCTTTAAAGGTGACTATTGCTTTCAGTATTTATGCTAAATTAGATCTATTGTCATACTCTCAGTAAGAAAGCAGAGGGAATTTCCACAAAATGTTCTTTTAGTAAACTATACATTGTGGAGAAGACAATGTTTTTGTTCATGTGTTTAAAAGAACATAACACCATTAGTATAAACAGGATAAGACCTCACTGAAAGATAACAATAGCCACAATTGTCCTACAAAGTAATAATAGACAGAGCAATGACAACTGACGTCTTAACTAATCGACTAAAGCCTCTCAATCTGTATTTAACATCAGCTGACCTAAGTACAAGCTATTAGTCACTTCATGCACATGCATCCTCGACAACTCAAAGAATAACATGATATACAACAAAATGTAAGATTCATTCATATATTGAGTAACTGACAGAACAGCACGAGGCTAGTGACGTCAATATTACTAAAATGACATTGAAGAGCTTTCGGTCTCACAAACACTGCAGCCGCTATAAACGATATATTGTTACATTGTATCCTCCTTATCCGCATAATAACTTACTGTTTAGCACTCAGAGTGAATGGAAGTCAGGTTGCTCGCAATATCAGCGTAGCATAGCTGCTACAATCCATAGAGCACCTTGATAGTTACTTACTCTATAACCTAATAACTTAATTACATCATTGTATTACAGGTATTGCTTTAAAGCAGTCAAGAAGCACCTGTTTAGTCAACACTAACCATGTAATGTAATGTATACTGTCACTTACCCGTATGCCCTTCACCACAGACACATTCTCATTCTCGTCCGACTCAAATGACACGCGCCGGGTACTGTTGTTTGCTCCCATTTTTCGTTAAATGTCAGTTATCTACATGTAATGCCTAAATGTTAAAGTGTACTTTTGTTATTGCTAAGTATAGCCTGCTAGGGGCCACACGCCACTGTTTCGGCAAGTCTGCACTTCCGTAGCATGACGTACTCGAAGAACGAGCAAGTTGATTGGACAGAAGCGTCGGCATCCTAACATCAGTGACTGTCATTGGTTTTTTTTAGCGGTGTGGGAGTGAGAGAGCTTTCTCTTTTCCACTGACAGCACCACTTGTAGGCTACTAACAACATTTTCAATATAGTCACTGTTGAAAATAGAAGTTTAAATAGCACTTTCTTCCAACGAATACAGTTATTATATTTTCATGGTAAATTGTGAGAGCAAATATATGTTCATCTATCACTAAAGTAGGCTACAATATTGTGAGACACAGAACCTATATTGCATTAAAACAACATTTTTCATCAATTTATATTTATTATACAAATATTTTACAAACATCAATATTTCTAAGATGTAAGAATAGGATTATGTAGTCTTCTGAATACATTCCTCCTGATGATTAGACTTTTCATAGCTTTCGGGTTGCTGAATGAAAAAACATATCCACAACAACCCCTTTTTTTGCTCAGCTATATGCTCAGTTGGCAATTTGCTCTGACCTCAGAACTTAAGTCTTGAGTGTTCAGTATCCAGCCCTGTATGAATATGAATACACTTGTGAATAACTTGCCATAAACTTCTTAAAATAAAGCCTATTTGCATAATGGTGTTAGTAATGTTGATTAAATGGAATCAAAATTAATTTAAATGTTTTACATAATGGCTACCACCAGGAAAATGTATCATTATTTAAGCTGTTTTAAGATGTGAGAAGACTTATAGGAAGAAATAATATCATAAATAATGAAGTAAGGACTTGAACTCAACATAAACGCTGGTCTGAGCAATACAGAGTAAGAAATGCATGGAGAAAAGAAGATGGGATATAGGATTGATATAACTATGCCGTCAGATATGGCAGGGAAAACCAAGACACAATGAGTACATATTGAAATAGACATGTTAAATGTGCATGTTCTGACTAAGACCCTTTAGTTCAGAGCTGGCTTAGCAGAGGGTTCATTTTATGGTCCTCCTGGCATTATTTTCAATTTCATTTACATTAATCAGTGGTCATTGTTTCTGATGTAATGAACAACAGCATTTTGCAACACTTTGACTCAAAATTGTCATGCAATCCAATTCCACTGAAGTTTATCGACACTTACTATCCTGCATGTCTGCCTTCAATTGATGATTTCTCTGCACTGCTCTAACGAGTATTTTCCATTCATCATGCTGACATGATGTTTAAACCATTTTGTATGGGATATGTCTCTGCTGCTCACCATCCTTGTGTTTCCTTACTTTCTTAGATTTTTCTCTAACAGTCAACACTTTACTGATATTTCTCCTATGGCGTGTCTTTGTTATATATACAGCAGAGTTATTTAATCCTGGGAATTAATGTGTGAACAACAATAGTTGTTGATTTCATTTTCCATGACATGTGTCTGGGTATTGCTATTCATTTTCTAAATCTGCCTTCTGCTCCCAGTAGAGAGGATGGGGGAATACAAAATAAATCCTGCAGTCAGCACCACAGGTGTGGACAGTTCTTGGACCCATGAAGTAGAACTAATGTAATAAAACAAGGATTTACTTGCCAGCAAGGAGGCTTATTCAGCAACAGGCAGCCAGTCAAAACAGACAAACAAATCCAAAGGGAGCAAGGCAAGCCGGAAGATAATCAAACACAGAAGAATGAAACATGATTTGTCTACTATGCAAAGAAGCCAACAAGTAGTCGTAGAAGGGGTGAAATCAAGTACAGTTCACGTTGACTCTGGTGTCCCACAAGGCACTGTGCTGGGTCCATTGCTTTTCGTATGCTACATTAATGACCTGCCGTCACATGTAGCATCTACAGTGCGGTTATTCGCGGATGACTGACTGCTCTACAGGCCTATTAAAAATGAAAGTGACCAAGAAGATATACAGGGTGACCTGACTAGACTTCAGGAATGGGCTAACACTTGGAGAATGTGCTTTAATACTAGTAAGTGCTACATCCTACGAAGAAGCAGATCAACAAACCCGCACATTAAAAACTATACTCTATGTGGCCAGGTGTTAAAAGAGGTGACCCACCAGTCTTATCTTGGGGTAGAAATCCAGAACAATGTGAAATTTGGCCAACACATTGGCCAAATTGTAACACAGGCAAACCGTTCGCTCGGCTTCCTACGCCGGAACCTACGACGCTGTCCCCAGAAACTGAAGGAGACAGCTTTTGTGGCCCTAGTACGTTCTAAACTAGAGTACGCCAGCTTGGTCTGGGACCCCTACACTGATAAAGACAGTGATGCCCTGGAATCAGTACAAAGAAGAGGTGCAAGATTCATTTTTGGATATTATGAATGGGACAGCAGTGTCACAGAAATGCTCAAGCGGTTGAACTGGGTGGAATTAAGTGAAAGGCGGCGATTGGCTCGTTTGGTTCTCTTCTTCAAGATTGTCCATAACATCTCAGCCATTGATGCATCAATGTACCTAGAGCCAGTTAGAAGAAGTGCAACCCGCAAAGCCAACTCTTTGAACTTCGAGCGAATTTTCGCAACTAGTGACACTCTTAAATACTCCTTCTTTCCGAGAACAATCAGAGAGTGGAACTTGCTACCAGAAGAAGCTGTCATCGTAGAAACCGTGGAGTGCTTCCGGCAAATTTTAAGAGACATTTAGCGGGGATAATCCATCCCCCACTGAGCGTGATACCTCTGGGTTCTGCTCAGTATTAATCCAGATCCAGATCCAGATGATAGAGGGGAGCATGCAGGAACAAAAAAGAAAAGGGTCGAAGGCAATTTGATGATATGACACAAAACAGTCATGGGAATCATTTTTGAACTATTTGAAAGTGTGAGAAGGTTAGGCGATCCAAAAAAGTGAAAACCTCAACCAGGATGACCATTGGACAAGAAAGACATGTCAAAGAATAGAGTAATGGTGAATGAAACACTGAAGTAAATATGTAAATTAGAGTTGAGCAAGAGGGAGAAGCCATCAGAGAACCAGTTCAGTTTTTTATACTGAACATCAATTATTTAAATTGTTATTAAAAAAACAAACAAAACAATTCTACAGGCATTAGACAGACTTCAAGCATTGCTATACCATTATATTATTGTTGTTTTTTCATTTTCTTTTACCATATCACATCCAAAAACTCATACAGCCCTGAGCCTTGCGACATTACATTGCTGCTGGAAATGTGATCTGCCTCAAGGAGAGAGGATATTATAAGGGATGACATTTCATGAGAATCATACTCTTAACTTGATAAGTCATACACACACACACAAACTAATCTAATATATATTTTTTATTATGCTCCTTTCTGCTGATATTTGTGTTTCACGTTTTCGGCATTGTCTATATTTGTGATACTGTGCAAGCATAAATCAATGACAATCTTTTTAAAGAATTTGTCGAAGTAAAAAATGTCATATTCACATATGACTCACATTGGAATGCACAATATACATCTTGAAAAAATAGATGTTTTTAATTTAAAACTCTTTACCAGTATGGCTGACTGGGCTGTATGTTGAAGAAGACACATATCAAGGGCATCTGAACTAATTGGAAAATAAAGCTAACAATAAAGAAAGAAAGGATTGAAAGCACAACAGATGAAATGAAGTGGTTATTAAAAAACTGAAAACACAAAGAAGGTAAACGTTTGGAAGGTAATAAGCAGGTATGCAGGGCAGGATCATGCCCTGGAGCCATGATTCAAAGTCAATTTAGACGGACTATATAGTTACGGTGTATCACGCAACACATTGAAAAACATGCAGATCCCGAGGTTTCATTGATTTTTCATTTTCTGTGCTCCCCCGAGATAATAGGTATTCAAATGGTTTAACTCTTGTCATATTGTAATGGACAGATTTCCCCAAGGGGACTGCCCCATAACAAGTCCATGATGAACATATTACATAATAAAGAATTAGAACATGCAGTAATACCCTGAGGGCACTCTCTCGAATGCCTCAGGCGGTATTGAATAAAGTGCTTATGGGACAGTGGTTAAATTCCAGAGTGTGAAAGGTTGTTGTTTCTGACAGAATTATTATAATAAACATGATTATTATCAAGACTGACTCGCAACTTTGATACTAAGCATGCTGCTGGTGATCAAGTAAATCTATTGGTTATATTTATTTCATGATTGTCTGCAGGGGAGAGAGAACTAGGTTTTCCTGCATGTTCAGTGGTATTTTTCTCTTATCTTACTGCCGCCTAACATGTCTGATGATGTGAACATAATTTGCAGCATTACTGAACATGGATTTGTTGCAATTATTTATTTAAAAACCCGCTACTTCATAGCAACTCCTAGATTATCCAAGAAGATAATCCAGACCTGATCTGCCGGATTTGGCTGTATGTTTACCAAATTCCCAAAAATCTATTATTTATTTGTTTATCTTGTTTTATCTTCCCAACCTTTGTGTACTTTTATTGCTTTTTGGCAATATGTTTTACTGCGCTTTGTCTTGTGATGTCAATTAGATATCCATCTTTACTTTATATAATACCTCGCTGTCATCTTTGTCAAATGGTGTGCTCTACTTTACAAATATATGAGATGAATGAAGAGTGTCTGAATAAATTGGTCAAAAACCTTAAGTATAAAATGAGTTTGAGGCCCTTTTGTTGGTAGTGCACCAAGTTGGAGATATGAGACCAATGTGTTGTTTGATCCAATTCAAGATTATGTGAAAAATACGCAGGGCATAATAGATGCAGTGTTTTTCTGTTTCCCTAACCACATTTCCATGGAAACAAGTAAAGAAGTACATACTACCTAATCACCAAGGGATGACATTTTATTATACATTTGGATGGGGTGTCATTGGATAAAAGAAAAATACTTCTTATTTTCTGTTGATAATGATCAAAGCTATTACAACAAAGAAATACATCAAAAATAGATCCCCAAGTCCAAGGATATTAATTATTGAATGACCAGCAGAACCAAGAATACACCTGCTTATATGCTGTACTCTTACATTAATTAATAACAACTTCTA